ATGGTGGTGGGTCCATAATGCTGTGGGGATGTTTTTCTGCAGCTGACACTGGAGAACTTGTACGCATTCAAGGGCTCGTGGAAAGTAAAAAATATACACAGATGTTGGAGATAAACCTGAAGAAGTTAGCTGAAAAAATAAAACTCGGTCGAAGGTTTACGTTTCAACAGGATATTGATCCCAAACACAGATCAAAGGCAACCCAAGAATGGTTTTGGAGGAATAAAATTAAAGTCATTGACTGGCCAAGCAATTGCCCAGACCTAAATCTCCTTGAACATACACCGTTGTACAAAACCCCCTTTTCAATTGTTAGTTCTTAGTCGTCTGTATGGTAATTTTTCCTAAATTCACGTTTTAACAAACAAAGTTTTATGTGTGGTCGATGACAAAGAAAATAAGTTAATTATTACCTCGTTGCACTTACCAACACCTTGCCTCCTGTAGAGTAAAATATCATAGTGTGAAAAACAGTTCGGAACAGGTGCATGTCAGATTCCACAGAAAGAATGTTTCCCAGCTTATGATCTGTTTAGTTAAAGGAAGAGACCCCATAACAAAATATTTGGGCAATTACAACAATATAGTGTTGGTTCACCACTTATAAGAGTAGTTAAAAATTTCTAAGGTCCACAGTGACATTCAAAGGATGAAAAAACTTTTAAGTATGGTAGAGATAGATTATCAACGTGCTGAATCATTTGTGTAGAAGTTGTTTATTAAAATTTTGTCTTGATTTGAAGAACTCATGTAATTCACGCAAGCCATAAACTAAACCTAAAATAGTATGTTTGTTTCGGAATGTGTATATTTTGTTTGTTTATTTTAGAGCAAAGCCACAATAAGCTATCTGCTGTGTTCACTGTGAGGAAATGAACCCCGGAATTTAGAAATGTAAGTCCGTAGACTTACTACTGTCCCACTGGAAGTCTCGAAATGTATAACATGCTGAGAATGAATACAATCACGACAATAAACTTTTATCATCCTTCAAATTAGGATACACTTTATTAAGCAACATCAAGGCTTAGAGAAAGAAGAGCATCGACAGAGAAGAGAAGAAGAAGAAAAGGGGAGAATGGAAATAGAGAAAATAAGAGCACAAAACAGGAAGAAGAAAAGGAGAGAGAGAAGAGACTGGAAATAGAGAGAATAAGAGCACAAAACAGGAAGAAGAAAAGGAGAGAGAGAAGAGACTGGAAATAGAGAGAATAAGAGCACAAAACAGGAAGAAGAAAAGGAGAGAGAGAAGAGACTGGAAATAGAGAGAGTATGGGCACACAACAGGAAGAAGAAAAGGAGAGAGAGAAGAGACTGGAAATAGAAAGAGTATGGGCACAAATTAAGATTGCCAAGCTCACCCAACAGAAAGAAGAAGGACTCAAGATTGACAATGGAGTCAGGGCCAGCTGACCTAAGCTGCACAAACTTGATGAACAGAAAGATGACATGGCTGCTTTCCTGGAGAGGTATGAAAGATACGCTCAAAGTCAGAACTGGGAAAAAGCGAATAAGCAGTCTGTCTCAACCCACTTCTTACAGGAAAAAGTCTACAATGTATGCTGGCATGTCATCAGAAGATACCATGAACTATGACAACTTAAAAGTGGCCTTACTGAAGCGCTTCACATAAATAAAATCTCACACTGGAGAAATTTTATTTCAATTTATGGCTCATCTATGGTGATACTTCATAAGACGGACTGATATGGTCAAGTGTGAAAATAGTTTTGAAGGACTGGCAGATCTACTAATACGTGAACAGTTCATGATCATGTACTCCACTAACATGTCACTGTTCATAAAGGACAGGACACCAAAAGACATGGTCAAGATGATCAAGCTAGCAGAACAGTATTTGAAAGCCCATAGAGGTAGCATAATTGGCAAGTCTGTCACCAACAAGCAATCACAAAAATTTCAACATGAAGCAGTTGGAGCTACCTACAGGGATAGTCCTGGCAAGAAAGAAGAAAAGAGTGACTGTCACTATAGATGCTACTGCCAGAAAAAACAAAATGAAGACAACTCATTACAATAATCACAAGAAGGAAGTGCTACACCATGATTAAACAATGCATGATTGATGGTCAGCTCAAGTTAGCAAACGGATCAACAGTGCTAGTAGTGATTGTAGCATGTGACAAACATTAAGAGGTGACAAAAAATCACAACATACCAGGAAAAGAAAATATGTCGAGGAAAAGAAAGTGAAAGTTCTATGAGACACTGGATACAGTAGTGCAGCTGTGAAAACCACTTTAGTATCTGATGATCAGATGATGTGCAAGATACATTTGTGTGTGTTGATTGATGGAACAGTGAGAAAGTTTCCATAGTGAGAATAAAAATGGGCACTCAATATTATGTGGGAGACCTTGAGGTCATGTGTTTGAAGGGACCCATCTACGACTTGGTGATTGACAATATATCAGACAGTAGAAGTTGGGAGAAATCAGAAGACTGGTGAGGCATCTGCAGTCACCGCAAGATTCCAATAAAAAAAGGCAAGCAAGTCATCAAGCTCCTGCAATTCTTGAAAGAGTCTCTCCCAAACTTAGGTCTATGGGAACTGAAGGAAGATCAAAAGAAAGACCCTTTTACAGTAGGAACTTTAGGACGGTACCCGGGAGAAAGTCGAGCACAGAACAAAGAGGAAAGCTACTTACATAATAGAGGACTTGAATGGAGTGCTGTACCGGATCTATCAAGGCAGTTCTATTGGGGAAATTAAACAGATCATAGTACCAACAGAATACCGGACTTAAGTGATGAAACTGGCTCACGAGTCAATTGTGAGAGGACACCTAGGAGCAAAGAAGATGGCAGATAGAATCACCAGCAACTTCCATTGGCCAGGGGTCATCAGAGATGTGACCAGAATATGCAGGTCATGTGACATCTTCCAACGGACAGTATCTAGAGAGAAGGTAGCCAAGATGAAACTGGGTTAGATACTTCTCATAGAAAAATCATTTAGCAGAGTAGCTGTGGACTTGATTGGACCACTAGCACCTATAACTACAAAGGCAACAAGTATGTGCTGACAGTAGTCGATTATAACAGGTGAGAATCCACAAACACAAAGGTCCTCAAAGGGTTAAAATTCTACTGTTTCCGTAATACGTCGTTGGTGAGATCAATTACATTACTTTTTGGGACAAATCTTCCATTAATCACTACTTCTCATCGATCATTCTATGTTACGTCTTCACGTAGGTTTAATAATATTTCAGCTTTATCTTTATATTTTAGAGGTACACTGTCAATGATATCTAAGTTTCCATGAGTAGGCGATTCCATTTTATTTTTAATAGGTACCATAGTTTGAGATTGAAATGTTTGATGACATCGTTGTAGTTAATCTAACATCTTGGCTTTATCATCTACAGGTAGTGTATCGTTATATATGACATATTTCATATCTTTATCCATGGAACTTAAAACTTTATCAACAGTCTTTCATAAACTTTAGGTTGATAAAGTGAGTGTACTAGTTCTTCAGGAATGAGAATCATTCGTTTTGCATGTTCAATATTTCAACAGCTTTATCGATAGTCCATCTTGACAAACCACCAAATAATTAAAGTATTGGTACTGTGAGTAATAGTAAAAACCATCCTTTCTGTATTAATAGGTTTCTTTTCTGATTAACTGATTATCAGCCAACTCTCTCAATAATGATCTGTATCGTCTAAGTTTCTGTTTTCTTATGGTTGTCATGGGAAAGTTACCCTTTAAATAATATTTACAAATATATGTTATAAAGTATTTTTTAGCTCTGGTGATTATTCCTATAATCCTGGTTTTGCTTAACTCTAGGTGTCATGATTAATGTATGGCAAATAGAGAGTGTGTGAACAATATCTAAATCTGTTTATTTACACATATATTTATAAAATAATTTATAATCCATTTAAATATAACATCGACTTTTTAAACACAACAGTGATAAGTTATGCCATTATTACGAATTGGACAGGGCAGAGTTGATTTATGAAGTCGATTCACTCTGTGACAACCAAATGGCTCAAGTTATAACAGGGAATTTGAAGGAGATTTCTCAACAGTTCGGTTTTTCTCACTCTTCTTGTTAAAAATAATCGTAAAGTTCTGTCGTAGCAAACTAACCGCATTCGATAAATAGGGATATTCGATGGTACCACTATCCCAGGGGATATGGTAGTAGGGGAGTAGGGGTAAATAATACTGTAATACTTCGATAACTTGTTGCTAACAAACTGAGTTTTACTGCTTCCATTTGGACTTGACACTAAGTAATCATAAACTACAATGATATTATATACAATATGATTTATTTTATGTACACAGGATCAGCCTCTCATGAGTAAAACAAACAATTTAATAATCATATGGTAAGGTGTTAAAATCAAACAAAATGTGTCTTTTGGTTTAAACAGGGTGTATTTTTTACTTTCTTCATTTGTTAATGATAGATAGCATTTTTCATATTCCGACATATTTTCCTATAATTTATTATTGTAATAACATGCTGAGTAGGATTTTGCTTTTCATTGAAGAGAAGTTTAACTTTTCACTATTGACAAAATTGAAATTAACCCTCTAATTTACACAAATTAGGACTTTCCATTATCATATATTTATCCGTAATTCTTGGGACCACCACTGACCCACGATGTAATGTAAATTCCCCAAGATAATTACCTAGAGGAAGATCGTTATTTCCATCTGAAATGTAAACAACACTATCAGTGTTGCAGTATAAAACAGATGAACCTAATATTTCTGGTTAATGGTACAATTTGACATGCATGAGAAGTGGTGAAAACTGCCAGAAAGATGTTTGTTTGATCTTTCTAAGGTAGATACTCATGTTTGTGTATCCAATGAAGAGCAACAACTTCGTCATTAACTAGTGTAACATCTGTTGTAATCTCGGTGTTATCATTTATTGGCACTAATATTCGCGATATTATGCCGACTGCTACCTAAGAGTACTTCTAAAAAAGTGACCTCAATTTTAAACATCCTTTTTATTCTGATTAACTTTTTCAGTATTTGACAGTATCATTTTGGGTGAAACCATAATCTTATCGCTTAAACATGTACTAACAGGTTTGTCTGAATTGTCTGAATAAATACACACTCTAATTCTGTCAGAAGTTTTTAGGTGGAAAATAGTTTCGTCCAGTATATTCTGTAAATTATTAGTAACATAATTCAGAATATTCGTGAGAGGTTGCTCGTATGAGTCTTTATTAAAATTATATTATATGAAGTTGATATGACATTATATTTTTTCACATGCCATGTCGAAGATTTTCTAACATTAAAAATATCGTAGCGACAATGTTTACTAGATGCCTGTAAAAGAAAGAAAACATAACTAAATATGTAAAAAATAATAAAACTGAAAGTGTATAATGCAAAATATCAGTATAGATTTTGTCACCCCTGCCTCATTCATGTTGGACGCTTGTTTGGGTCCTAGGGAAGTCTGAAAGAAAAGAAATAAATCACATTATAGATAACTCAAATGTGAAAATATATAAATCTTCAACACAGGTCTTCAGAATCAGGATGAATGTGTCTTTGATATAAATAGTTAGAATCAGATATTGAAATCAACTTACCATTTTGACAGGTAGAAGTCAAGGGTGTGTCCAACTCATTATCAAAGATAGGCAAGACCTATATAAAGAAAGATATAAGATACAATATCATACGAAAGCAATAAACACAGAGTGTATAATTGAATGACACTCATTAAAAAAAATAAAAGTAAAAGAAACATAAAGCACAACTATCAACAAACGAGTTAGAATAATAACAAAAACAGAAACTACCTTAGTATTTTCCACAACAAACAGAGGATTTGCCACTAACGCGAAACTTTCTCTATTTATCAAGAAGATCTCTTGGATGTAAAACGAATCTATGAAGACTTGATTGTCTTTTTATGGTAGGCCAGTGATAGGTGACTGCATGATATAATAAGTATAAATATAATAATTCTTGGAATATATAATTACAAATAAGCAGGGGTCTTGAAAAACAAACATGTTTTTCGGGAAATTATGCAAT